AATGCAATACTAATTCAGCACTTCTGTGCCATATCTATACACTATATCGTAGTTTTTTTTCATTTCCTTTTTGTTACTGTACATGTGTGTTAAATAGGCAGACTCCGCGTCTTCTTTCAGAAGTGATCAGGAGTATTTTATCTTTTTGTTTTACTTTACATTCTTCGTCTTAGGCTTTGTTAACAGTCTATAATATAATTTATATTTATTATTAGTTTAGTGACAATATTGATGGATGATTAGGAAAAAGTTCTGAATATAATAATGAGAATAAATACTATAAAAAAACAAAAGAAAATTTGTGATGAAAATCAATAACACGAAAATGACAAGGGAACATAAAAGTTGTCGATAGAACAGGTGAAAATAATTCAAAAAACTTGTCAGCACAGCTCCTTTGGAGCTGAAATGTGGAACTCATGTATATCCTTCCAAGTTGTTATTCTAATATATTATTTGTACACTGAAAAATAGGTTTTTCTTTCAAATAATTATGAATACATTAGAATATTGTTTAGAATCTGAAGTCTTCTGTGCACGGTTCCGGAGATCTGTTATGATGGCCTGTCTGTAATGGAGTGGAAGGGAAGAAAGAAGAACGGGAAAACCTTAACCTTAAAACTTATACTCACTATTTTCTTCGAAAATATACATGACTTCCACAAAATAATATGAAACCACAACGGAATATATTTTAAGATTTCATTTATGTATTTATTACTCTATCTCAGGATATTGAGAAGTATTATGTGGTATCATCAGAACAATGAATGATAAAAACCAATAAAAATCACACGTACTAATAATAAAATTTGCAGAAAAAACAAAAGAAAAAAAAACACTTTTGAAAATATCCATTCTTTCTTTTTTTTTCTTCCCACATATCTTAGTATTAATATGTGTATGTTCGTATTCTTGATCATTCTTTTTTTTGATGATGTCACGTAATGTTTGTTGAAAGTTTGAGATAGAGTAACGAGTGCATAAATACAATCTAAAAATGTATTTTATTTTAGTTTAACATTATTTGTTTTATTAGCAGAGAGCAATTGAAAAATACATGAATGTCCAGGGGATATAACAACAACCGCTTATGAATTTCTTACGATTTTGCGACTAAATAGCCGCATAGAAACAAAACAGAGAAGGAGAGAATACAAAATTGAATTATTCTATACACTTCGATATAATTCGGTTACATCCCAATGGACTCACTTTTCCTCTTGCTGTGGTATAAATATAGATTTCAATAGTCATAAAAGCACAGTTACTCTACTATTCCAGTTAATTTCTAACTTGATCTAAAATTACTCTCACTTTATACACATTTTCAAATGGCTGAAAGCAACACTCTATCTTTTTTTTTGTCTCATACGTTCCAGATGTGAGTTTTAGTATGTTCTATATATCCTCCTGGCCCCAATAAAAAACATACCTAGTTTTTACAATTATCCTTCTCACACCCGTCGTTGAAATTATTCTCATATTTATACCACAGATGTATCTTTGATTGCTTGACTTATCCTGAAAGTTTCAGCTATACACAATAAATTGTCGCTGAGAAAATTAAAAATATGTGTCATGTACTCGACTATACTGACAGACATCTTAAGGTGTCTCTCAGTATAGTCATGTATCAAAGCTAACTAACTGTCATCTTGAACTTCAAATAAAATTTAAAATAATGAAAAAATCAGCAAAACAACAAATTATGGTTTCACTGCTACATGAGTATATGACACATATTTTTAATTTTCTCAGCGACGATTTATTGTGTATAGCTAAAACTTTCAGGATAAGTCAAGCAATCAAAGATGCATCTGTGGTATAAATATGAGACCAATTTCAACGGTACAGAGAAGGATAATTGTAAAAACTACGTGTGTCTTTTATTGAGGTCAGGAGGATATATCAAATCAATGAATTTCTAAACACTATGCTTCTGATGTATATTAGTAAAATTCATTGTGTTCAATGAAGCTTTCTCTATCTTTTTATTTCAGGATCTGCTCTCTGGATACTACTATCCTTGACAGTATTTTTATTATGTACTGTTTAACAAGTGTGTAAGCTCATTCAAACACCCAATTCACACGTCAAAATATATCTATATCTAAGTCATACTCAACAGGAAAGTAGTAAAACTTGCTTCTATGATTTCTTTAATTATATATCGAGAAGTACTCAACAGTGATCACTTCAATGATTCGTCGAATGTACTATGGACCATCAGTTTTCATATTGTCTTTCCGATTATAAAATTTCAAACTATTCAAATAAATATATTCTCGACGTATTCACGCAATAATTCGTTAGCATTATCTCCAGATGAAATTTTTCAATGAGAAATATACCAAAAGATGCGCTGTGAGCAGGGCTACAACATATCAAAAATTCAGTCTGGAATCTCTTACTTTGATAAAATATTCGTCCATGACACTGAAATTTGATAATTGAAATTGTGCACTTTTTTTTTCAAACTTGATTTCTTTGTCATAAAAAATTGCATTCAGAAAATAATAGAAATAGGCTATTTTGTAGAGAATTTCATTCTCTATCATTTGAGATATTTCCCACCTCAAAGCATCAAACGATGGAAGAGAAAATCAGAAAATACAACCATGATTGAAAAAATTGATTTTTAGGATATGATCCGAGAAGTCGAAAAAATGGAATCCCTGCTATTTTCTTATAGATAAATCAAAATGAATTGATATTTTGGTTTCCTAAGTAATTTTTTATGGACTTTCGAATGAGATTGATTAAAGTCGAAATGTAAAATTTTTTCGTCACCACCTCTCCATTATATTGGTCGGTTTTCTGGCGCACTCTCTCTTAAAATATCAGTGATATTGTCCCTTAGATAAAGAAGATTGCATGAACTATATATGAAAATATTAATGAATTAGAAATATGATGATTATATTATTATGGTGTGTACTTATTCTTCTACACCATGATTCTCTTCAAGTTCTAATAAAACGTCTTAGGTAATGCTGACAATTAAACTCAAGATTTTGAATCGATTTGTACTTGGAGCTGGACCGATAGATTTTTAGGACACTAAAGCTGATGTATTTTGCTGATTTTTAACGATTTCCATGGTTTTAATGATAAAAAGATATGAGTCTGGAAGCCTCCAACTGACATGTGGAATGAATTTAGCCATGTGTTAGAAGTTAATTTCGGTCTAACCTAAACATTTTTTACTTTGAAATTTCGATCTCACTTTTGTGAACTATCTTTAACTGACTCTCAAAAAATTCCAATAGCTAATACGTTTCAGTTCATGCTTTCGTTAGAAAAGATCAGAAAAGATTTCGTTCTGTTATCAAGATATTATTAAGTACTAGCATCATGCAACTGTAAAAATATTTTTCTATCGACAATAGTATCCTTTAATGAATTGAGATGTTTTTCAGTTGTGTTAAATTATTATTTCAAATAAGAATAGATCAAAATTATCAATTGTAAAGAAATCATATCATTATTAAACAAAAAAAAGTCGGTCAATTCATAGTATAAACGCTAGTTGCTGTGAGTTACCAGATAAATTGTTTTGAAAGAAATCTTTGTTGATTCTTAATGTTAGGATATATACAACATGACAATATGTCTTTGTAGAATCTAAGTAATAGACTGTTTCGCAAAAGAACGGACTAGCTAATAGATAAATTAAGCGTACCGAATTTTTCCCGGTTCTAAGTATGAATCAATTTAAGGGTACACCTCCTATCTTTTCGAAGTCTCTGGAAAACGGTTCATTAGAAATATTTGAAACTTTTGAGGACAGATAGATCTTAAAGAGTAAAAGCTTCCGAACGCTATCTTCTATCAGATATTGGCTTCACAATTGGTCAAAATCGTTCTTTTCGAGATCAAAAGAAGTTTGTTATTTTTCAGATCGATGGAGAACACTTCCAAGTATAAACGTATACTAATGAAAAACGAAAAATTAAAAAAATTATAATTTTTTTTATATCCGAAAAGCGAGGGAAGGTGTCCGTAATGAATCTACAAAAAATAGTTTTCGATAGTCCATCATATTTTTTTGTATACAAGTATTTTTTGCACATACCTGTCCTAGACTTATTTATTTGTAACTACAGTTATCTCGGGGATATAACGACCAAAGATTAATATTATTTATGTAGGCAACATTCTTTCTCAAATATCTAATAGATAAAATTATTCATACGATAAATGATGAAAGAAAAAGAATAATAAATAATCAGAGAAATTATGTACATAAGTTATAGAACATTGGTGTCTTGAAAATTCGATTTTGTATTTGTTCTCAGTCTTGTTTCTTTCTTTTTAGTGACATAGACTTTTTATTCCATATTATTCAATGAAGAAAATGAGACTACAAAGATCCTGTTTATTATGTTTGTTTTATTTTTATTGCAGGACCACTTTCAGTGGTTTTAATATGATAATGATGATAATTATTATGCACAAATACATAAAAATGAATAAATTGAATTTTTAAACTATTAAAATGGTAACAGATGATAAAGACGACGTCTGTTAAACTGAATACACTAGAAGTAACAGATGTAAATACAATTTAGTTAGTAACGTATCATAGAAATACGAATCTTTTTTGATTTTTTGATTTACATAAGATGAGTCATCAGTTTTTACTCAGTTTTACTGAAAACAATAGCTTGAAAAGCATAGTTGTATTATTTATCTTTCATTAAAATTAATAATGAAGAATTATTTTAAAATTTATTAAAATATCAAAAATTTACATTCATATTTAAAATTCTTAATGAATATTATGTTTAAAATTATAGACAAATCACTCATAATGCTCGAATTAATGTTTTGTATGATTTATTTTTGTTTGAGAATTTCAAAAAGTTAAATGTATATCGTTTAATGCGATCATAACTATATATTGAACTGAATTCATTATAATTTCAAATCTATTTATTGTGAGCCATACTAAATTTTATTCAAAGTCAATTTTATCACAGATAATATCTATTTTATTAATTTGATTTAATCCATGAACCATTGATACATGACATATATACGGATGTTTGTCTATATATTGAGGCAGTTAATTTTTTGGGTTGTGCTGGACACCATACTCTAATACCACTGAAAACACATGGTTCTAATGGAAATATCCATTCTATTGGAGTTAAAATTAAACTATCAAAATTATGATATTCAACAAATAATAATATATGTTTATTATAATATTTATAGATAGGCCAAATGTTTATTGATACATTATTTTTATGATTAATAAATCTTGTATTCTGTATAGTAAAATTAATTATTTCAGATGGAGTATAAGATCGATTAAAAACTTTAGTTATAAACCATTGTGGATGAATTTTAAGTTCATAGATTGATGAATAATTTGCATTGATTAAATTAATTAGTCGTGGTATATCTTGATATATTATAAATATATCTATATCATCATCATAAGGTGATAGATCATTATGTTGAATATAACTAGCAAGTGTTTTATAAGCTATCCAATATCGAATATGATGTGAATGAGCAAGATGATTCCATGTTTGAAAAGTATAGAGAAGAGCTCGTTGTCGTAAATAATCTTCTTCATTACATCTTTGAATTCTTTTCAAAGCTTGTTCAATAAAAATAGTTTCATTTGATAAACGACTCGTAAATAAATATCCACGTTGATAATGATCATAGAATAAAGATCCAATAATAAATGAAGTAAGCGAAATAAAAGTTATTGGTACAAAATAAGCATTGACTTGATTCATTATTAACATATGTGACAAAACATCGAATATTATAATATTCAATATATATGATTCCATTTCTATATCGTGCACAATCAGATAAAAAAGAAAAAAAAAGAAACTTGAAAGAATGAGTAAAAAGGAAAAAAAACAATCGTTATTACATTCCATCGTCATCGCATTCTTGAAAATATTCGAATAGAAACTCGAAATGTCAGCACTACTAATCGTTGACAATAATATTAAAAGTTCCATCGTGTGTATTGAAAAGCGTAAGGAAACTATTGTCATTTTGTTAAAAGATTTCGAAGGATGCATGCTTGTGAACATGGGCGGCGGAGCGGTCTTAGTCTAGGGTAGGCTCAACTTTTAAGCCAAGCTAGCACCGAGAGTCAATTGAAAGACTTTTTTTTCGTTTATATGGGTAAGCGCTACAGATTCTCTTGCTAGGTTTAAATTCCATAGAATTTGATAACTAAAGGATGGTTCGAAAGTTTCGACCCCTCTCTATAAATCGATAATATCTACAACAAACTTATACAAAGTTATTGATCAAATTGTGTTATTTTGTAGAGGAAGATGAGAGTTATCATTTGAAAGAAACATTTCGAAACACATAAATCTATTATAATGTTATGATCATTTTAGCAGCTTTGAGCTGACATCCCACTCCACCTCTTTTTCCTCCTTTTCTTCTGTTCTTTTAAAATTCCTCTTTTTAGCCTCTTTTTTCGAAAAAATCCACTTTTTCCTCTTTTCTCACGAAGAAGCAGGTCGTTGACAAAAATATTCATGAATATATTGATTATTGTTACCGTATCATACAAAAATATCACATAACAAACTGATGTGCTGATCAGTCAAGTTGCATCGCTAAGGAAGCTAAAGTATATGATTTTAGTGACCAACTTCAGCGATATTATATATTCATAATCGGAATCCAATTTTTGTAGTTCTCTAGCAGAAGCAAAAGCACTCGATTATGTTTCCAATATGAAATCGTCATTCTCTCACGATCTTAACATATTTTTGTGTACTCAAAAAGTGAGTACACTCTAGAATCGGTCAGTGTGTCCGGCCGTTTACACGATAACTTTTGAAAGGAGAGTCAGATCACGATGAAATTTTCTACACAGTTTAGTCTTAACAATGTCTCGGTCGAGTTCGAAGATGAGAATGATTCGTGAAGCCGTTCCTGAGTTATTGCAAAAATAGTCATTTTTCACTATGGCTTCCTATGCGAAAATCGACCTATCCCCGCTTTCGTAAGAAACTTTTCCTATCATAGTCAAATAAAACCCCAACTATTATATACCATTCGATAGAGAATCTCACAAGCTACAAAATGGTATATAAAACCTAAAGAAACAAGAAGACTAACTCACCTATTGCAAAGATAATTAAACGGGAAATGGTTCTGTTCTTGTCCACACTCTAATTGATCCACAATTAGAGCTCTGTCTTTCGATCACAGAGATGATAGTTCGAGGATTTCTGGGTCGAAGGGCTCTAATCCAAGCGTCATTTGCCTTGAAATCCTATTGGTTGAGCAGTAACCAATAGAAATCAAGCTATAGGAAAAAACGACTTTCTTAGGGTAAATCAAGGCGAAGAGTTGAAATCTGAGCTGTATTCATCTCTAAATCCTATTGATTGAGCAATAGCCAATAGAATTCAAGTGTTTTATAGAAAAGGTTTGCCAGGATAATTTTTACGTCCACACATTCTAGGATGACTCATCTGTCTCATTCACTTTTTGAAGTACACCTAGCTCTCTGGTTTAAATCCGAGGTTTCCACATTTATTCTGGTTAAGATCGACATGTAAAATTATAATCTCGAGCTCACTTTTCTTGACCACTTTTTTCGGCCCCAGAGAAGCTTGTGATATGAATCTAACAATAGAGAGGTAACTCATAGCGTAGCGCATGCTTCAAAGCAAAGAGTTCCTAGGATGACTAGACTCAGTCTAGAATTCTGTCAGATTCAATGGGATTTGTTCGGCAAGATAGCTTCCGATAGTATGATAACATAAGTTGAAGATTTCTGCTTATTAGAAAATGAAGTAACCCCTCTTCCTCTTCTTCCGAGTTTCTTCGTATTCAATCACATTTTAGAGGTTCGTATATCTCCAAACCGTACACGGAGAAATATAATCTTATACGAATAAATACAAAGTAAAACGAAAAGTATAGACGAGCTTTGTTTGTCTATAAACGATCATATTTTTGTGCATACGATCACGGATTTATACGATCACATTACTAGGGGATATGAAACGTCGTATTTCTCCAATTACGAGCGTGTTTGCTTGACATGGGTTAATATTGACAACGGTTTGATGATACTTGGAAGAAATCGGATATGATGGAATACAACAGCAACAAACAGGGGTATCCGATAACCAAAAAGTAAGAGATCATCCAATCCACTCAATACAAATAATTCGTTTTATACAGAACCCAAGAAGATGATCATATGTCACTGCAAAAAACTAAGCGTTTTCGATAGCACGCGGTCAAATGATTCCCACAAATCTGCTGTCTGGACACAGTTGCAACCAATGTATTAATTTATGTTGAGAAACGGAAAAGCGAAACTGACTTGCGAAAAATGGTCAAAATCACGGAAGAAATGCCGAAAATTGAAAAAGCACAAGAAAAACTTTCTCACATGCGCAACCATCCGAAAAAAGGAACAAAACGCAAAAAAGACATTTAATGAATTTTGATTGTTTCTATTTCTATATACCTACATAGTTAGACAGTAATACTATGCTCAGATACTATGCAGATAGAATATTTAGAATATTTTTCTAATGTGTTCCGGTTTTCTAATGGATAAATAAGCAGCTGCACCAAAATCCCCGAACAATCTGGAAGTTTCGTTTTTGTTTTTCTCTTTCAAATCATATTCAATCTATACTGATAACATACGAGTTTTGTCGGATCTATAGTACTATAGTGCCGGTGAGTTTTGGTTTTCTTCGAAAGGAAACTGTACGCCTCTTCTTCTCCTCTTTTTTTTATTAAAAAGTCTCTTTTTTTTCAAGAATGCTGGGCATCTTTTTTTCTTTTTTTTTTTTTACAAAGTGCTGGTGAGATGCCAGATCTATTTCCAAATATTTTTACACATGATCACTCTTATCTTTCTCTAAAAGCTGTTAGCGCAATCCCTTGCGGGATTAAAAATGTGAAACACGATGGACCTATTGTTACTAATTAGATGGGCATCGTTTTGTTCCATTTCTTCAAGATAGATTTGTAGCTTACCGTTTATTCGATGTTTCAGAACTACAATTTCTCTGTCACAGTCTGTGATGGTCTCTGGCAGTTCTCTATCACGATCTGTGATGGTTCCTGGAGTTCTTCTGTCACGGTCTGTAATGGTCTCCGGGAGCTCTCTGTCACGGTCTGTGATGGCTACAAGGGTTTCTCTGTCACGGTCTTTGATGGATATTGAGATTTCTCTGTCACGAGCTGTGATGGGTACTAGGGTTTTTCTGTCACGGTCTATGATGGGTATTGGGGTTTCTCTGTCACGGTCTGTGACGGGTCCGAAGGTTCTCTGTCACGGTCTGTGATGGGTACTAGGGTTTCTCTGTTACGGTCTGTGATGATCTCTAGAGTTCTCTGTCATGGTCTGTGATGAATGTTAGGGTTTCTCTGTCACGGTCTGTAATGGGTGTTAGGGGTTCTC